AAGGCTGGCGTAGCTGCCCAGATGTGCAGTCCAGATGTGCCGCAAGAGCCACATGCCCCTCCATCCTCTGCGGGATGGCTGGGGCTTGTTTCTCTGCCTTTCCCTGCTCTCCACCCACCTCAGTCCCTTTGGGAAAGGCAGGCTTGGGTGCATCCATGGGTGGTACAGGGGGCAGGGAGGTGAGGAGGGATGGAGGGAAGGGGGCAACGGCGCTTGGAGCAGGGCGGCTCAGAGGGACAGCAGCACCCCAGTGCCACCCCTTGCAGCTCTTTCCCATTGCTCTCTGCTGCGCTGGGGGTGGCAGAGCAAGGGCAGGCATCCCCTCACACCTCTGGGCAAAATGCAGTGGAGGTGGCACTCTGCACCCTGCTCTCATCTCCCTGCTGGGCAGCGGGAGCCTGGGACAGCTCGGGTTCAAGTCTGCTGGAGCTTGGAACTTTTGCTGACCTCCGCGTGGGTGTCTCCATGGCTGAGGGCCATGAGTGATGGGGCTGCAGCCTGCCCTTACCACCATAGTGGCTACGACCACCATCTTCTGCTCTTTTCTTCCACAGAGAGGCGTGACCATCGCAAGTATTGACACCTTCGTCTGTCCCTGCAGCTGCTTCTCGCTGCTCTGGACTGCAAGAGCTTTCTCTCATTCATACCAAGGTAAAAAAATAAACAGAAACTGCAACACAACCTTTCCTTCTCCAGATGCTGGTGATGTTTTCTGTGGTGTTCTGGCTGTGTCTGTTCCTTCTTCCTCTCCGGTGACGGGGTTGTCCTGGAGGCACGAGAGCTCAAAGGGTGCAGGAGAGGGAAAAATCTAAAGAAGTGACAAAGCAAATGGTGGAAAAGCTCAAATTTCCCTTCTGCCATCGCCCTGTGCTGAAGGGGCTAATTTAGGTTTCTCTCATAGGTTCCCTTCTTGCATCCCTCCCACGGCATCGCAGGCAAACTCCTTTTGTGACTCAGAATAAAATCTTCTTTTTGAATGTATTGTCCTTAGTACTGCACAGCACCCAGCTTTTGTTAATTGTCAAGAGCATGTGGGGTGAGCAGCACATTTTAAAGAGCAAGTCATGAAACCGCAGTGGGCACCAGAGAAGAAAAAAAAAAATCACTCTCTTCTCATCAGCTTTCACCTTGCTGCCTTCAGAAATGCTCCCAGCCTTTAACAGATCACCGGGGCTGGCAACCGGATATTTTCTCGGTAAACAAAACTCTGAGCGCTGAGTACAAGTGGAGACAATTTGCTGATCAGCGGAAATACCGCAACTAGGTCAATAGGAATGCAAGCGATGGATCACATTTTCCCATCGTCTCACCCGCGGGTTATCTGGCTGGAGGAACCATGCCAGTTGGGGTTTGCAAGCAGATGGTTATGGTTATGTTCAGAGGGTTTGGGGGGTTGAAAGAAAACCCTGTTGGTTTCTTGGTGGTTGGCTCATCACCGGGTGAAGGTGTGACTTCACCTTCCCTGGGATTATCCCATGCAGGCAGACTCTTCCCTTAGATGTTGGGTCCCCTCTCCGTTGCCTGTCGTCCCTCTGGGCTGTCTTTCCCCAAGGCTGTGTCCCCTCTCTGCTACACTCCCCCATGTTCCTACAGCAGCCAAGCAGCCAAGGATGTACAGCCATGATGCTACCTGGCCTTGGCATGGGATAACATGGATTTTGAGGATTTTGAGTGTTTCTCCCCATCCCTACCATCCACATGAAGCAGTGAGGCAGTAACAGAGCACGTCCTCAGGGGCCACTGACGCAGCACAGCTTGTGGCAGTTCTGTCCTCCCAGGCTGCCTGGCTCTGAACAGTAGTGGTGCCAGGATGGTCCAACGGGGCTCTACCTTCCCCAGACCCTGGTTGGTACCTCCTGGTAGAACTGGTACTACCAGCATTGATCCCTGGCTTGAGCTGGAGCAGCCACAGGACCTGGTCGTGTGGGGTTGAGGAGAAGGCTCCTGGGGGGTTTGCTCTCCACCAGTTGGGGCAGCCAGGGGCTGGATTGCCGACATGGAGCAATGGTTTCCTGAAGAGGAGCTGCCAGCTTGCCCTCCCCGCTGACGAACCTCTGCCAGGATCCCCACTGTCATATTTTCCACCGGGTTTCTCCCGTCAGGGTGCTTGTGACTAGCGACTCTCAGTTTCCTGGTTTGCAGCACAAGCCAGCCAACCCTCCGATGATGTTTTGTTGCTGGGTACCCAAAACTGGAGCCTTTCCTCATCCTCCTCACCAAACCTGGCAGCCCCTCCGAGGCTGCCTCCAGCTCCGGCCTCCCCAGCAAGGTGCATGCAATGGGGCCGGTGATGCGCTTGGGGTTTTCCGGCATTACCTACAGGTTCTTCTCATTTCAGTGAAATGGTGACAAGTGGCTATCCAGAAATGGCTTTGAAAAAGTTTCGTCTGCCGGGGACAGCCAGGGCTCGGGAATAGTTGTGCAAAACCTCACTTGCTGCTCTCTGCAACGCTCATTGCTGTGGTTTCACACATTATCGGCTGCCTCTCAGTCCCGACACTCAGGATTCGGGGAAAGTATTCAGTGACGACTTCTCATGTTGTTTTGTTTCTCATGTAGAGACTTGCCCCAAAGGTGAGTGTTAAATTCAGAGGAAACTCTGAAGAGCCCTGGAAAATGCCAGCGAGCGCCATGGGGCTGAGGCATGGGACGAGGACTTTGGGGAGCAGGCACAGCTCCCCGCCGTGGCCTCGTGGCCTCAGCTCTGTGGGGTGTCCTTGGTGATGTCCACCACCACATGGCTTCTTGCCTGTGGCAAGCTTGCTGTGGCAGGGACAGTGTATAGGAGCTCAGCGTTAGACCAGACCGCTATGAGGAAGCCAGGGCTGGTCTTTCCTAAGATAATGCCAATTTTAAGATGAAAAGGAATAAAACCAATGCCTTGGCAGTCCTCCCAGGCTGTGTGTGGGCTTGGTCCTATGCACAGCAAGGCTGCAAGCCCGAGGGGCCGGGTTCAAAACCCTGCTGATGCCAAGGGGACCTCCGCTTGTCACCCAAGTCGGTGTGTCCCCAGCACTGTTTGAGTCACCCCACTCCTGCCAGGAGGATGGTCCTGTGGGAGCTGGGAAGCCCCAGCAAGCTGGAGAGCAAGGCAGCCCTTGGGTGGCAAGGGTGTGTGGGCAGCCCTCGGGGCACCCAGGGGCAGGACCCCAGGGGCCCCTTGCTCCTCTAGAAGGCAAAAGTGACACTGGGGGGCCGGCCCCAGAGCTGGCAACCCCATCCCAAAGCTCCTCTTGTCGCAGAGGGAACAGTCCTGGCATGGTGAGGGGTTGCACAGCTCCAAAGCACCAGCCAGGGTCTCAGCCCTGGGCTGCCCTCTGCTCAGCCACTGAATTGCTGCCCACGAAGACCCTGGTGCCATCCCACACTTGTGATTTGGATGCTATATTTAGGAACATAGTGACCTGCCAAGGTCAAACACTGACTTGGTTGCAGAGATGTTTGTGCTTTGTTACCAGCTTTTGCATTTGCAGCTCACAGCGTTCTAACCACACAGGACAGGATGCAAGAGAGTGGGTAGATAGCAAAAGCGAATGCTGGACTCCATCCTGCCACGCGCTGAGCAGCCCCGACAAGGCACTGTGTAGCCTCCTCTCCTGGGGCTGCTGGAGAGCAGCGCCCTGCTCAGTGCCCCGCTGCTTCTAGCAGGATCCGACCCTTTACTGGCTGCATGCACATCTGATAAGAGCATTGCCTGTAGAATGCTACTTTCAAAACAACTTTATATAATGGCTTGATGACTGCCTTCAAACCAGCTCCTCAGCCTTCCTCACAGTACAGCCTCTCAGCCCTCCTCCCCTGCACGCCAACAGAAACCCAGATTTATCCTCTTTACATGGGGAAAAGGAGGTCTGTCCCTTGCTGTAAGCAGTAAGGACCCTGTTGCATTCACCTTAAGTTATTGTATCGGTGGTGCACGGCTGCCCAAATCTTGGATGCCTGAAGAGCTCTGAGTTGGGGCTGGGAAGGCTGGACCCCAGCAGAACCTGAGGCGTGGGGACATGGAAGGGACATGGGCTGCCCAAAGAGGGCTGGGAAGGCTCAGGGGCTGGACCCCAGCAGAACCTGAGGTGTGGGGACATGGAAGGGACATGGGCTGCCCAAAGTTGCATGGAGGTGATGCTGGGAGGTCAGCAGCTGGCAGGAGCGCTCAGCATCCCCAACAGCCTTTTTCATGCTCAAATATACAGATATTGGTAACATGGCTAAGTGGCGACAGGGTCTGCACATGCTTGTTCCCTTGGGTGCAGGGTCAGTACCTCACTGGGGTACCAACAAAGCTGCTTAAAACTTGTATCCCCAAACTGATGGCCAAGCACTAAGACCCAAAATCCTGCTGTCTGTTGAGGAGCATGAAAGTGGTGCCCACTCTGGGGGCCCAGCACCCATAGAGATGTTTGTAAGGATGACTCAGCCTACCCAGGCAGAGACTTCACCCATGGGGAGCACGAGGGAAGGTCAGAAACCAGCACAATCCACCTGCCTCAGCCAAGTGTCTTAACTGCAAAATCATCCTTCTCATGAAGGAAACAAAGGGCAAAAAGCCTTTCTTCTCCTTTTGAGAAACAACCAACTTTCTGAGTGCTTCCTAGCCCCTGGAAGCCCACACTGCGGTTCAAGCAGCTCTGCCCATGGATTCATGGTCTTCATTTCTTTGAAGATGACTTGCTGTGAAACTTTCATCCACAGCAGGAAAAAACCACTGGGGCATAGTCTTGAGTGTTTCGAGGGTAAATATGAATATATGGAATAAGAAGCTCTTTCTGCTTCTGGTAGAACGGTAGGAAAAAACATGGAAGTGCACCACAGAAGAAAGTCTAAGCAACGTTTTTTTTGTTGTGGGAGACAGTAGTGAACAAACCTACCCACTACGAAGAGTTTTTTCCAGGAAGTGTAGGTTGCTGCAACCTGTATCCCTTGAGCAGCGGGTGCTCACACAACAGTTCTCATGCTACTTGCAAGCAGGGCATTTGAAGGAGCCCCAGCAACGTGCACGGAGGATGAACGAACCCTACAGCCCTGCAACGCCCCGACCCATCAGCAGCACCTCACCTGGCACCATGAAAATGTTCATGGGCTTCCTCGCTGTATTTATTGTAGCACAGACTATTGGGACCGTACTCTTCTGTTTGTATCTTCACATGAAGATGGATAAGGTAAGTGTAGAAATAAGGTTGTCTCTGCTGGATCGCTAACACAATTTGCCTTCAGCCGTGGTGAGATGGGCTCACCAAAAGCATGAACATGCTCGAAGATGATGCTGTCACTGGATGGATGCGGGAGTGGCATTTATTGCACCCATGTTCTCATTTCTGCTTTAATTTGCAACTAAGATGTACGCTGAGGAAGAGATCTGTTCCCTTCATTAACAAAACGAGAATGGATCAATCAAGAAGAGCAATTAATAGCAAAGCTGGCAGCTGATGGCCAGTTCAGGGAGAGGAGAGTGTGGCTTCAACACACAAGTGGCTATTTTAGGCTCATGGGGGGTTTTCTGGTGCCATAGCACTTGGTAGCACTGTGACACTAATCGTGAGGATGGGGGGGGCCAGAAATGAATATTTTTAGTATTCACATGTATGAATTTTACCAACAGCTCACTTCAGATGCTGTCTTTCTATTTAGGGAAGAAAAGTGTGGATCTTAGTACTCTGTCTTTTTTTGAAGAGTCACAGTATCAGTGATCCTGTCCCATACTTGGGACAGTATTTACCAAAAAATTAAGAACTGAAAAGCTGTTTTTGAGGTTGCCATCACCGCAGCTGCACTGCGTGATGCTTAAAATCACCAGCCTAAAGCCACTTTCTTGCAAAGCAGAGAAGGCTACCAACTAAAGAAATGAAAGATGTCTAAACCCCAGAATGAGTTCTTACAATGATAAGATCGTCACTACTGATTTTTAAACATGGTGTCCCAATTTAAACTGAAATTTAGATGGGTAACTTCTGATCTTCAAGGGTGGAGAGCAATCCTGAGCTAGAGGGGCTTAAAAGTCAGGGGGATGGAAGGGGACTTTGCTGCACGGAGGTTGCAGCCTGGGGTGAAGGGGTGAGTAGAGGGTCCCTGGCAGAGTGAAACGTGACTGCACAGGGCTGTGGCAGAGGATCAGAGGGAGCTGAAATGCAGCCACGGGTGGCAGGAGGATTTCAGCTGCCTTCAGAGCTCACGGCAGGGCTTCAAACCCGACCCTCCGCATCCCGGCGCTGCCTGCTCTGCGTGCTCCCCCAGGTTGCGTGTCCTCATGTCCATCTGTGCTCCTCTTTACTGTTTAGCCAAATGTTAGGTTTTTACAAAAAACAGGTGTAATTTTAAAAAATCAGTATTTTTATAGATATATTTATTCTTTTTTTGGTTTTCTGATTTTTTTTAATCTGATTTTTTTAATCTGAAGCAGAATCTCACGGCAGAATTCGGCCCCAGCCCACAAGTTGGTTTTGGTCTCTTGGCAGCTCTTTTAGTCAGTAAACCAGCTGGAAAAATGAAAAGCCACCCTGCATGGGCAGGGCAGCACGGGGCTGAGCGAGCATCCCGGCTGCCTGCCGGGGCACCGGGGCAGTGGCAGCGAGCCCCAAAACCCGAGCCACTCGCTGAGACTTCTGTGCTGCTGTCTGTAAATGTGGGTGGGTGGGTAATTGCCACCTGCCTTTTGGAAAAGGCAGAGTGGGAAATTTAAATTCATTATCAAGGTGATAGAAAATAGGAAGGGATCCTGTGCAATCCTCCTCTCATCCAGCGTTGGCAACCAGGATCAGCCCCGTGGGTGCAATTCCTGGTGGATGCGGGTGCAGGTGCTGTGCTGGGCGGCTGGTGGGAGCAGTTGGTATCCGCAGCGCGTCTGCCCGGCTTATCCCGATGCTGGAAAACCAACCCCGAGCTTTCCAGGCTGAGATTTATCGCTAGCAGGAATACAGTGTGGCTCCGCTGCTGGCCCTTGCAGCTTTCTCGGTAGCATCCCATTCACCCTCTCGTCTCTCTCCTGCTGGCAGATGGAAGAGGTGTTGAGCTTAAATGAAGATTACATCTTCCTGAGGAAAGTACAGAAATGTCAGACGGCAGAAGGTCAGAAGTCGACATTATTGGACTGTGAAAAGATTTTAAAGGGCTTCCAGGATCTCCAGTGCAAGGTACGCACTGTTAGGCAGATAAAGACCCCGCTGAACGTGAAGGGGGGGGGCTCCCAGGCACACACACAGCTTCACAGGTACGCGCTGTTAGGCGGATAAAGACCCCGCTGAACGTGAAGGGGGGGGCTCCCAGGCACACACACAGCTTCACCCCAGCTTTTTTTTTTAAACCGTGGGTACCCTTTACCTTGGGGCTGCATAGCACATACCCTTTTTTACACTATATTATTTTTACACTGTATTTTTACACTATACTGATATCACTGAAAAACCTCACCCGTTTTCTTTTTTCTCAAAACGGTCTCAGTCAGATGTCTGGCTGTGGCGTGCCGAGGGGTGCTTGGGGCTTGCGGTGGGTGGGATGGAGCTGTAGCCACCCTGGCTCTGCACTCTGATCCCATTGATTTTTCTGCTGTCTGGCAGCTTGCTCCGATCGTATGCCGAGTAGCTCTGAGGATGCCACTGGGAGCACTTTTATGCCCACTTTGCCCAGGCGTTGATGACGGTGCAAGGCTCGGGGCCAGGCAACATGGCTCCCAGCAGCCGGTGAGGAAGAGGAGGATGCTGTGCAAATGCCACCCCATGGGCTCAGGGATGGCACCTCCAGCCGGTGTAGGGGCTCCTCGCATTTGGGTGCAAAAGAGCCACCCTGCATGGTGACATCCTCCCAGCGTGGCTGAGGGCTGCCCTGCCAGGGATGAGGTGCTCGCAGCCTGCTCAGCCCTCAAATTCGCTGTTTAGGAGGGGCTGTGCCGGTCAGAGCAGGCAGGAGAGGAACATTTCTTCTTGATTGTCAGTCCCCGATGGCATCAAATGCCTCAGCTAAACCTTTGGGTTTGCATCAGTGCCCAACTGACAACAGAAAATTGTGTCTGAGATGGGTCCAGCTTAGCAGTCCTGAAAACCCCCTCTCGCAGGGGCAGGGACGTGCCCGGTTTGTTGGGCAGCATCTACAGCATGGCTCTCCGACGTGGTTTTAAAAGAAAAGGTGATGGGGTTTTGTTTGTTTCTTTTTTTTTTTTTTTTAAAATGAACTTTCCCCATGTCATTACAGCAAGGATCAGCTGAACTTTCTCACACAGCATCCACATATATAAGTCCTCAAGCCTCTGCTAAAGGTCTTTTTCAGCAAAATCTGTCTCCCTGGTCAGGAAGAACCTGAAAACATGCAGTTCCTTACATGGATTCAAGAACTTGCTTACATAGTTTGAACCACCCAGGCAGGGCTGGGCACATTGCAACTCATTTCACCAGCAGAGATTCAGAGCGTGTCTCTTCCAAAACACTTTGAAACCAGATTCTGACCACCACTACGGAGAGGAAGCCCAGCATGTCATTGGACTTGATGTGATTACACGTCTTAGTTCTGCTGGGCAACTGTGAGCTGATCTTGAGTTGACATTTGTGACCGAACTGGTGAAAATAAACCCTTTGGAGGTATCTGGTGTCCTGCAGACGTTCCACTTATGTCTTTGAACAGACTAAACAGATTCACTCAGGGTTGCTTCCCCAATGCCTCTCTGTACACTTGATCCTTCCCTGCCTGATGATAAACATATGTCCTTCTCAAACATGGGTGGGCTGCACTACTCCTGCTGGTGGCAAGGAAAGAACAGTAAATGAACTTTCCCCATCATATCATTGTAATTGCATAAAGCCTGAAATCATAAACCCTACAACTCCCCTGCAGCAAACAGCCGGTCAGCCCGCGGCCATAGGTGATGCTGGGGAAGGTGCGAGAGGGTGTCTGCAGTTTTGGGTACCCTCCTCCCCCAACAGCTGGCAGAGCTTTTGGGGCCAAACAACACCAAATTGCACGATGGTCAGAGCATCCTTTTACACAGAGGCTTTCGAAATAGTTGATTTGTACATCTTAAAAAAAAACCCCAACATATATTTTTACTATTGTTTCAGGACAAGGGAGCCAGTAAAGAGCAGCCCAAGTTTGAAATGCAGAGAGGTGAGTTGCCTGGTGTCACCAGCGTACCCATCGCTTGCTGGGGCAGGAGGAGTAGTTTGGCTGGGGAAGGGGTTTCCTTCACCCTGCAACAGCTCGCCGGTGCCCCAGGGCACAGCACAGAGGCAGGGGATGGGGTCGGAGTTTGGGAGATCCCCATGGGAGTAAGACTGTGCATGGCATGGGGCTGGCAGAGGGGGGCACCAGGCATGGCTGGCTCACCAGGGCAGGTGGCTCTGTGTGCCATGTTGCCTGAAGTCGATGAAAATTAATCCAAAATTAAATCCGTGACCTTTTTGCATTGCAGGCCATGAGCACCATGAGCATCCCCATTTGATGCACAAGAACGAGACGTCCGTGACAGGTAAGGAAGGGGTGGGCACATTCAGGTCCTGTTCCCCCAGTGGGCAAGGTGGCGCGGTCTCCTCCACGGGCTTTATCCCTCAGGGGCTCCATCTTGAAGACAACTGAGTGTCGTTGCTGAGCAGAGACCAGATCCTGCCTAACTCAAAGCTGGGGTCTTTGGAGACTGTGCCTCTGGACTGGATTTGGCCCATAGGGAAATCCCAAGGGTGGGAGGTACTGCGGTCCCTGCAGAGGAGCTGTGCTGCCCAGGGGGGACAGCGGGTCCCAGGGTATCAATAACACTGGCCTTTCCGAATTGCAGCAGAGAAGAGGCAGCCGATCGCAGCCCACCTGGCAGGTCAGAGCAACAGGACAGTGTCAGGTAAGACAGACCTGCTTGATGCTGCCTTGGCCAGGGAGCCAGCAGGGCACGGCAGCGTGCATTCCCTGGCTGGACCCTGCAACCCTGCTCCGTGGCTGGGTAGGGCCAGGGACGGGGACAATACAAGTCCAGCAAGAGAGCGTGTCCCCAGAGCACAGCGAACCTCCCAGTGGTCACGTCACCACGTGCGCCTGTGCCACGTGGGGCTCATGCATCCCATGCTGGCTGTCCTCAGCAGCCTTATATATGCCTTCCTAGAAGTGCATCGCAATGGCTTAATCTTTACGGTGTTTTTTATGAGAGGAAAACTATTCCTCTTTGTATTTAAAGAAACCAACTTCTCACTCTCTTTTGGACTCAAAACACAGTGCTTTTGCTCTCCTGGACATGCCTGGCCAGGGTGGCTATGGCAGGAGGGCTCTGCTGGCATATTGTGTCTGCTGATCTAGTCATCTTCTCACCTGTAGTGGTCCTGGTAGCACTGTGGGCTGGCTGGTGACTTCACAGTCACAACATAGAGAGCTCCAGACTGATTTCGGCAAGCTGCCATGGCCACATTATGTTTGAGAAACACACGTGAGTCCGTCTGCATTTGTGCATCCCTCTGCACAGACCGTGGTTGCTCTTGCAGCTCCGACCCCCAGCGTAGCCTTAGCTAAGGGACATCCTGCAAGAGCAAGGATTACTGAAGCGAGTAAGGGCTTGCAAGGGCAGTCCCTCAATCTGGCAAGGATTTCGCAATCTGAACACGTTTGATTTAATTCTGGAGTAACTGCCGGTAATAGGCAACTGCTCTTTCCATCTCTGACGCAGCATTTCACCCAGAGCTTAGTCTACCTGTGGAAAGCTTAGTGTTAGATAAGATCAAAGAAGTGAGAAGCTCGCTGCATTTTAAAAGTCCCTGCTTAAGCATTTGTTGAGCCCATAAAGCAGGCTGAAATTGCCCAGAGAGCAACAGTTGCCTGGAGCTCGGCTCTGCACCTCACCAGTTGGGCACAGAGAAAACATCCCCATAGGATGCGCAGGCATGGACCACGGGCTGCATGGCTCCCCCAGGACCACCCATGCTGTCCCACTGCGGGGACTGGGACTCTGGAGCTAGGTCACTCACCCCTGATGCTCTCGCAAGCGTGTCTGTAGGTTGGGGAAGGCGGAGGTCCAGAATCCCTCTGGGAGGCCATAGCTGAGCTCAGCTCCTATGGCCATGGTTTCCTGGTCTCTGTATTAACTTATCTGCACCGACTGCAGCAGAAGTGCGTGTTCATGAGCCACCCCGATGATGCCAATAGTGCCCCAACAGCCATGCTCCAACAGCCATGCCAGCACCAGGTCTGCAGGGGCAGTGGTCCTGGTGCTGCAAGGCAGCACTTGCCATGCAAAACCCTTCCAGGTTTGCACCCTGCCAGGGACCAAGACTCTGGGACAATTATTTTTGCACTTCCTTGGTGAAGTCTGACCTTCTGTGGAGGCCAAATGGAGGAGGGACTTTGGAGGAAAGGCAGCACCCAGTTTGGAAAAACTATGAGCCCTGGGATGGGCGTCTCTGAAGACAGGAGCTGCAGTGTGTTTTGGCAGTGCTCTGAGGGCTCGGAGGCTGTGCCACTGAAAGCCGTGGAGATAGCAACCCTACAGGGATGGACATGGGCACGTTTGGCCCGTGGTGGCAACTGTGTGCAAACTGTGTGCAGTCCTCTACCCTAAGCATTTCCACTTGGTTGGATGAAGGAAGCAAAATGCTCCTCCGCTCACATAATTGATTCAAGGGCGTCAAGGCCGGTGACCAGAAACATGGGTTAAACGTGTTCTGGCCTCGGGGAAGGGGACCCTGCGCCCCTGGTTGGGGATGGTGTCCTGGGGTGGGCAGGACCCATCCCCACACCCCCCAGCAGACAGAGGCTGTGATGCCAAATGTCTGTGGGGTCTCCTCCCTAAAACAGCCTCCCAAACTGGATGTCTCCTTCTCCCAGCTCATGTGCCATCCTTTCCCCCCACAGTGCTAGAGTGGAAGAAGACGATGTATGGCCCCATGAGCAACTTGATATCCTACCAGGAGGGGAAACTGAAGGTGAAGGAAGCAGGGCTCTACTACATCTACGCCCAAGTCAGCTTCTGCACCAAGGCAGCAAATTCGGCACCCTTCACCCTCTATATTTATTTGTATCTCCCCATGGAAGAGGACCGGCTCTTGCTGAAGGGACTAGACACGCACAGCACCTCCACATCTCTCTGTGACCTCCAGTCCGTCAGGGTGGGAGGTGTCTTCAAACTCCGGGAAGACGACATGGTCTTTGTCAACGTGACAGACTCAAGACGAGTGAACTACAACCACGGCAGCACCTACTTTGGCATCTTCAAGCTGTAGTGAGGAGGGGGCCGCCCCCGAGCTGGGGGTCCAGCCCGACTTTGTTGAACAAAGTGGCTTTCCCTGTTTCCCCTATTTATGTTCCTCTGCCTCTTTGGTTTTCTCATTTCTTAATTTGTATATTTTGTTATTTATTAATGAGGGCCACGGGGCCCTGAGAACACGAATGGAACAAAGTTTGAAGCTGTTGTTGTTTGCACTTTTCTTTTTTCTTTTGCTGCCAACAGTTTGGTACGTGTTGGTGTTATATGTCTGGGTCCACCATGCCCCATGTGCCTGGCAGGGTGGATGTCCCCGTTATGTCACAAGAGCTTTATTTAGCAAACCCTACCATCAACATTTCTTTCCTAACCATGTAGGATGGCTCAGGGCGCTCCAGCCAAGCTAGGCTCATACGTATCTCCCGTACCAATCTGCTTACAAAACATCAACGGAAAAACATTAAAAGGCTTAGGAACGTCTCCTCTAAAGGAATCAATCAGCCAAACTGTCCTTCCGTGCTAGCTGTTGGTGATGCATCGTTGCCACCCTAACTGTCTGCTTTATCTCGAGAACCCCCTTTTTTCCACCCATGCCTATCTGCCAAACTCAACCAGCTTTCTTGCTTAGGATGACACTACTTGGCCAGGTTCACCCTTGGTGACAATTGTCCTGCATCAGAGGGGCAATTGGTGGCTGAGGGAGGACTGCTGCCAGAGTGCAGAGTGCAGTGCTCTGCTCTCAGTGACCCGAATCTGCTCACCAGACTGTCCTCCTCTCACCTCTGCAGGTAGAGGACCCTCTGCCTGTGCAGATCATTTCACTCCCCAGTGGAAGAGGCATTGGCTGTCACCATCATATTTGGACCTGCTTCCCCTCCTGAGACCCTTCTGGCCCTAGGAGGAGAAAGCATGGGTGGTGACAGGACCAACTGCTGGTTCTCAAGCCCTCCAAGGTGCATGTGCAGAGCATCTTCTGGCAGTGAAGGTGTGCCCACAGTGGCACTCCACTGTGCATGGAGTGCAAAAGTTTGGAAATACTCCTGGAAGCCAACAGGTTTGCAAGTGGAAGAGCTTTCAGATTTGGGCAGTCCTTAGAGTTTGCTTGGCTGGAGGCTGCAGATCTGGTCCTAACACGGTGCCCAGGTGCCACCACTGCTGGGACGGATGGGGCAGCCTTTGCACAGCTCATTGCAGTGCTGGGTGCCCAGCATGGCCCCGTTCCAAGGTCAGCAGAAGAGAGCTCAGAGCCAGTCTGTTTTTATGACAATTTAATATGTATTTGTTGGCTGTTCTCCAAAACTGCCTAACTTTGTCAAGGAACGGACCACTCTTGTCTGTCACCATGTATAAAAACTATTTATTTAACTAAAACCATCTTATATTCGTAAACAGAGAGGGACCGCGTGCCAAGGGACTGTGCATGGCCGTAGCTGTGTTTTGCAGCATATTTCAATGTTCATGGTTCCCCCTTCCTGAGTCTGGGGGTTCATCTACTGTCACCCTACAAGTAATCCAATTGATGAATTGAGAGAGAGAGTGCTTTGTGTGCTCTGAAGGCTGCTCACCCTTCTCAGCCCCAGGCTGGGATTTCCTAGGGTCCTGCATGGGGTCTGGGGACCAAGAGGGCAGCGGGGTGGCACCAGGGACGACACAGTGGGGACAGCCAGCCCCAAAAGCCTCTGGGGGCAGCCATCCCACCCCGCTCCTTGGGCCATGTTGGGCTGCCAGGGGACAGCGCCAGGGGCATTTTGGCTGGAAGAGGGAGCAGGCACCCCCACCCCGCCCTGGGAAGGCAGCGAGGCACCAGGGCTGGAGCCCCCAGCACAGCTGTGGAGCAGAGGGGTGGGGGTTAATTTAAGGGGATTTAGGACACCTGGCTGGAAGAGGGCTATTCCTGCCTGCCCCCGGGCACGGAGCCTGCAGGGATGTCCCAGCTTTGGAGCAGAGGGACGGATGCTGCACAAAGTGGGATCCTGCGGCCACTGTGCATGGGGCAGCAGGGGCTC